CACACAGGACCCACCGGTTACTCCTCCGGAACATTAAAGTAGTATAATTTTAAAACGGGGTATAAAATACTCCGCTGGCCAGGCCACGTAAATCGCACTTGTCGCTACTCCGCTACTCCGCAAGATGCCTTAAGACAAGAAAGGCCAGTAGGTCAAAACTTTCGTCCTCCCGATGCCTCACCGGGACCTTTCTGTTCAGCAAACCTCGCCAAACTTGCTTGTTGCTGTGTGACCTAACGACCTCCTGCAGGGTCCTCTAGACAGACATCCCCGTCTAAGAAACGATTCAGAAGGCATCGCCGGGCCGAAAGTTTCGACCCACTTGTGCATCATCTTAACAAGCTCTTGCGGAGTAGCGGAGTACCTCAAAGTGCCGTTCACCCTACGCAGGCCAGCGGAGTAATTACTACGCCGTTTTAAAAATATAATACTTTTTAATTCCGGCGGAGGCCCCAAGGCTCACTTGTGTTAGGAGTCTATGGGGAAGAGGGTGGAGGCCCATGTGTTGTAAAGAATGTTGAAGCTAGTGGGTCGAACTATCGGCCCGGCGCAGCCTCCATTTTCGAGGCAAGAGTCCCCTCCTTTGCAGTCTTGGTGAAAGCAAAGCCGAACACTTTCACCCTGGGTTTGCTTGGGCTGGACTCTGGCACCCAAAATTGACGCTGCGGTAGGACGAAAGTTTGACCTATTCCTTCCTTCGTCCAAGACAGGCCCCCATTCCCCCGTAGACTCCTAGCACACAGGACCCACCGGTTACTCCTCCGGAACATTAAAGTAGTATAATTTCAAAACGGGGTATAAAATACTCCGCTGGCCAGGCCACGTAAATCGCACTTGTCGCTACTCCGCTACTCCGCAAGATGCCTTAAGACAAGAAAGGCCCAGTAGGTCAAAACTCTCGTCCTCCCGATGCCTCACCGGGACCTTTCTGTTCAGCAAACCTCGCCAAACTTGTTGCTGTGTGACCTAACGACCTCCTGCAGGGTCCCCTAGACAGACATCCCCGTCTAAGAAACGATTCAGAAGGCATCGCCGGGCCGAAAGTTTCGACCCACTTGTGCATCATCTTAACAAGCTCTTGCGGAGTAGCGGAGTACCTCAAAGTGCCGTTCACCCTACGCAGGCCAGCGGAGTAATTACTACGCCGTTTTAAAAATATAATACTTTTTAATTCCGGCGGAGGCCCCAAGGCTCACTTGTGTTAGGAGTCTATGGGGAAGAGGGTGGAGGCCCATGTGTTGTAAGCATGTTGAAGCTAGTGGGTCGAACTATCGGCCCGGCGCAGCCTCCATTTTCGAGGCAAGAGTCCCCTCCTTTGCAGTCTTGGTGAAAGCAAAGCCGAACACTTTCACCCTGGGTTTGCTTGGGCTGGACTCTGGCACCCAAAATTGACGCTGCGGTAGGACGAAAGTTTGACCTATTCCTTCCTTCGTCCAAGACAGGCCCCCATTCCCCCGTAGACTCCTAGCACACAGGACCCACCGGTTACTCCTCCGGAACATTAAAGTAGTATAATTTTAAAACGGGGTATAAAATACTCCGCTGGCCAGGCCACGTAAATCGCACTTGTCGCTACTCCGCTACTCCGCAAGATGCCTTAAGACAAGAAAGGCCCAGTAGGTCAAAACTCTCGTCCTCCCGATGCCTCACCGGGACCTTTCTGTTCAGCAAACTGCAGGGTCCCCTAGACAGACATCCCCGTCTAAGAAACGATTCAGAAGGCATCGCCGGGCCGAAAGTTTCGACCCACTTGTGCATCATCTTAACAAGCTCTTGCGGAGTAGCGGAGTACCTCAAAGTGCCGTTCACCCTACGCAGGCCAGCGGAGTAATTACTACGCCGTTTTAAAAATATAATACTTTTTAATTCCGGCGGAGGCCCCAAGGCTCACTTGTGTTAGGAGTCTATGGGGAAGAGGGTGGAGGCCCATGTGTTGTAAAGCATGTTGAAGCTAGTGGGTCGAACTATCGGCCCGGCGCAGCCTCCATTTTCGAGGCAAGAGTCCCCTCCTTTGCAGTCTTGGTGAAAGCAAAGCCGAACACTTTCACCCTGGGTTTGCTTGGGCTGGACTCTGGCACCCAAAATTGACGCTGCGGTAGGACGAAAGTTTGACCTATTCCTTCCTTCGTCCAAGACAGGCCCCCATTCCCCCGTAGACTCCTAGCACACAGGACCCACCGGTTACTCCTCCGGAACATTAAAGTAGTATAATTTCTCCTAGCACACAGGACCCACCGGTTACTCCTCCGGAACATTAAAGTAGTATAATTTTAAAACGGGGTATAAAATACTCCGCTGGCCAGGCCACGTAAATCGCACTTGTCGCTACTCCGCTACTCCGCAAGATGCCTTAAGACAAGAAAGGCCCAGTAGGTCAAAACTTTCGTCCTCCCGATGCCTCACCGGGACCTTTCTGTTCAGCAAACCTCGCCAAACTTGTTGCTGTGTGACCTAACGACCTCCTGCAGGGTCCCCTAGACAGACATCCCCGTCTAAGAAACGATTCAGAAGGCAGCCTCCATTTTCGAGGCAAGAGTCCCCTCCTTTGCAGTCTTGGTGAAAGCAAAGCCGAACACTTTCACCCTGGGTTTGCTTGGGCTGGACTCTGGCACCCAAAATTGACGCTGCGGTAGGACGAAAGTTTGACCTATTCCTTCCTTCGTCCAAGACAGGCCCCCATTCCCCCGTAGACTCCTAGCACACAGGACCCACCGGTTACTCCTCCGGAACATTAAAGTAGTATAATTTTAAAACGGGGTATAAAATACTCCGCTGGCCAGGCCACGTAAATCGCACTTGTCGCTACTCCGCTACTCCGCAAGATGCCTTAAGACAAGAAAGGCCCAGTAGGTCAAAACTCTCGTCCTCCCGATGTATGCCCGGTGGGTTTGCGCTTGACCGTGTAAGGGCACTGTCGGCTCACAGCCGAGGGCTGGAATCACAAAGTCCCCTGTCCTTGCGGTGGTACTCCTTGAGTGAGCCATCGAAAGGGTCGGTCAAGAAGACGGTGTCTGGATCCTTGGTAATATTGAGAGTGGCCTGTCAACGCTAGGTGCTTCGTTTGTCCGGCTCATTGCCTGTATTCGCGTAGCCACAACCCGCCTGCCAAGGTTAGAATCCTAAACCCTAAACACTAAACCCTACACCCTAAAAACCTAAACCTTAAGCCATGTAAGTGCCGCTTAAGTTGTTATTCTGTCGCCTGGTCCGGCTCTGGGGTTTGGGATTTGGGATTTGGCATTTAGGCTGCTCCGCACGGACAATGCTGATTGGGTGAAGGGCAGTGTGAACTTCTGGATCGCTGGATATTGGACATATGGGGTAGCCATGTGTAGGAATGCAATCAGCCGGTGCGATGAAAGGCACCACAGGATCTGGAGGCAACAACAGCGACGTCAAGCAAACAGGCAGCGACTTGCGAACTTCTGATCTTCCCAACGATCCGGCTTGAACTGAGCACAGCGGCAGCATCGCCCTTGCCGGACGAAATGTGACACGCACCCTGCCAAGAGAGCATGGCACAAACAACCGTGAGCCGCTTGAGCCAACTAAGCCGCAAGGAGGATTGCTTCATTTAAGTCCAAGGACCCTGGTGACATGACCTGCAAGACACAGCTACGTCGCAAACTTCAACACCATGTGGCTACGCTGTGAGGCTGCGTGCTCTCTTGCCGCCATAGATGAAAACTTCAACTTGCAGCGATGGGCAGCGCGCACACTATGGTCGGACTTTGATTTCGGCAAGCATCACGCTTTGCGTCTCCACGCAACACTCCCTGCAAATGCAGGTGAGCCATGCCATCAAGGCATTGAAGACGCCAGGCACCCAAGCGCTTCTCGCCTCAGCCGAGAGCGGGGACATGTGGTCGAAACATGAAAGCCGAGAGTCTCTGCGGCCACGGCCTATGCCACAGCTCGAGATGCTTCGGGTCAAAGGGCCCATGCCTGCGGCGGAAAAATGCTTGTCACAGCAGTGCCAAGTGCCAAGGACAAGCACTTCGCTACGTGGCCTTCTGCATCAGGCGGAGGGCTTGAGAGATGCGGCTCTTCAAAAACCCACCTTCCAACAATGACTCGTACTGAAAGCAGGCTGCACCCAAAGCAGCTGCGAAAGCCTGGCTCTAATTGGGCGAACACGCCATATTGATGCAGCCTTCCCTCAGATGCAAACCGAGCCCAGCTTTGAAGAGGAGGAGCAGCGGGAGCATGAGGAAAGCATCAGAACCAGTGGGAGTAGCCGCAGGAATCGGAGGAGCAAGCAAAGCAGCTGCAGGCGTGATAATCGCAGTCCTACTCATCATGACAAGACAAGTTCCCGAAAACCACAACGGCCCAAGAAGTCTCAAAACAAAGAGGGCAGCGGACTGCCTCGAGCAGCCGATGAAGCTCACACAGATGGCGTAGACGTCCACGAGCTGGTCGCCCATGTTGCAGGCTTGGATTTCCTGGACGACTTGCAATGGACTCTAAGCCAACTCACCCCCTAAACCACAGCCTGAGCCGTTGCTTGACCTTCGGCGCCGGTGTGCGCCTGAAGCGCCCGGATGCCCCACGCTCGGAGCGCTGAGAACGAAAGAGCCCCCGCCTTGCGTTCCTGAAGCCGGTGCCCTCATCCCAGCGCCTCGCACAGGCGAGCGGGAAGCGCGAAGCCGCCGTGTGCCCTGTGCCGTGCTGCCTCTTCAGCGACGCGTAGGTTCCTCCTGCAAGAAGAGGCGTTCCCCTTCGTCTTAGCTTTTTTTTATACGTGGTGCCAGAAAACACGCCTTCGAGGCCGAGGTTCGCATTGGCTGCAGGGGGCCACAAGCCTGACCCATGCAAGCTGCAGAATATGCAGAATCCCGATTGCTGTGAATGCCATGACGATTGGTATGTGACCTGCAGATAAGCCCTCCGCGTCTCAGAACTTAATAGCAGCTGGCCTCACCGATGTCCGATGCGTGCACACCATTGCTTTTCGCTCCAAGCGAAATATCAAGGCCCGTGCTGTAGTACCGCCGAGTTCAGTGCTGGAAGAACCATGTCAACTGCATTGAATGGCAAAGCTTGCATCATGCTTCTGGTCAGTTCCTGCCTGGACATCCATCTGCCCGAGATGCATATACGCTGATTCTCGCTCCAGGCCTTCGGATTCCCGCCCACCCCGAAGGGTGTTCGTGGGCGACTGGATGGACAAGCAGCTGTGTAGTTTCCTCATACTTCTCTTCTTTATCCCACCTTGGCGGGAAGGATCCTGACAAGAGAAGCAGACGCACGGTTGCACTTGAAGGAGCCAAGTCAGCTCAATTTCTGCCTCTGAGATGAAGCGTAGCGAGCTGCGACCTAAGCGGCAAGAGGGAGCATCAAAGGAAGTACAGTGCAAGGCCCGGACTGTAGCACTCTTCCTTTGTCGGGAAGACTGGACCCGGCAAAGAGGGATGCCCTCCGAATCGAAGATGCAGTCTTCCGCCTCCAGGATGCAGGATAGAGGGGGTTGAGACAGCGAAAGACTCCATGTGAATCTCGTCTCCTCAACTTTCAGGTTCTTCGGACCTCGGAAGCTTTCAGGGCTACTCTTGCGACTGCGACACCGTGAAAGCTTTGCCGAGACCATGGAAAATCACATGCAAAAGCCAGACAGCTAAGAGGATGACAGCAGCGATTGTGCACCTGTCGCCCAACTTCTCCAGATTCCGAGAAGAGAGCATATATCTCATGCAACCTCTGTGAGCCAAGAACCGTCGGTCGGGACGACAACGAGCATCGCACCCGAATCCAGTCCGCAAAAGACCACGGCGGTTTGCGATTGCTTTTGAGACTCTGAAGGCCGAGAATCGCAGGAGAGACTTAGCTCTGGGGCTCTACTTACAGGATCATGGGACTGTAAGTATGGTTATTAATACCGTAATTGGGCTTATAAGTAGTTATAAGTATAGTTATCTTAACTATAACCCTAGTTACCAAGCCCCATGATCCTTTAAGTAGGTAGGGTTTCTACGATCGCTAAGGCGAGTGGCCATAATCCCCCGGCCTCAAATGAGGCCACGCTCTCGGCAGATCATGTGGGAAGGGTCGGAAACCTGTGCATCGGTGAGTTGGAGCTGAGATCCCCGAGCTGCAGAGTTGAGACCACGCCACAAAGCGACCTGTGCCCTAGAAAGCCACAGCCTCAGGCTGCCTTGTCGAGTCATGCTCCGAAAGGCCGAGAACCTGCGATCTTCGGAGGTTCTTCTGAACACAGTTTCAGCTCCACGAAGCTCCGGAGAGCTTCGAGTTCAGGTACTCCATGCTGGTCCACATCTCGTCCTCCGAAAGTGCCCGGTTCCAGACGATGACCTCCATGACACCAAAGTCCGAGGATTCGGCAGTATGGCCCTCGTTGATGTACAAGTGGGCATCTCCTTTTGCCTTAACCCCCGTGTGCTGTCCGAGGTTCTTCCTTTCCTGGCCCCGAAAAACAACCCCTGCACTGTTGCCGCACAGCACGAGCCAATCGGTCAAGCCCGTGTGCTGCCCCTCCTGGTTCACCCACCAATTGTAGTGAGTAACCCCGACTTTTCCGTGCCAGTGGCCGTGAAGCCAGTTCCAATTATCGTGCTGGAGAACTCGCAACTGTACTCCTCCTTCGACATAGCGAGTGACCGAGCAAATGGTGAAGTCCGGCTTCATGATCTGGCCGAAGTCAAATCCAGTGTGGACGTCGCCGGAGAGGTATGCAACGGGAAATTTGGCACCGTGGCCGGTGTCCCGAGGAGACCTGCAAGAGTGCAGAGAGTGAGGGATGCATTTCTTGCGAGTGCATCTCGACGACCAGGTTGCCCTGCTGGTGGCGCACTGGCATCTTTCCGACAGGAGGGAATTGGGACACACTGGCTTTCTGGACAAGGGAAGTGCTTCCCCGTAAAGCCTTCATTGCTAAGGAGGTGGTCGCCTTTGTAAAAGTGTTCAGGGTCTCACCGATCACATCACCCAGGTTGTTCAAGTAACTCAGCGGAGGCACCTGTTCGATGATCTTGAGGCCAAGGCATTTCGTGACGTCTTGGCCGGACTCCAAGTTCTCGCAGTGCATCAAGTCAGTCCCCATAGCCATCAAGCTCTTGATGGAGTTGACCGGAGAGCCTGCAAGCACATCAACAACAGTGCGCAGTTGCTCGGGCAGCCCGTTGATGGGTGGCACGATCTCCGTGAGATAGGGTCCCACCAGCTTGGCCATGCAGTGGAACACGTTGCTTCTGTCGCAGCCTGGGGTGTTCAGAAGATCACGGATCATCGCGAAGACTCTGTCGACGCCTTCCTGCCCCGCATTCACAACTGTGTGCAACTGCTTTGGCAGCCAGTGAAAGACGTGCTGCGCCATGCAGTCGAAGGTGTTGCCTCGATCGCAGTGGGGGGTGTTCAGAAGATCACGCATCATTGCGAAGACCCTATCGACGCCTTCCTGGCCCGCATTCACAACTGTGTGCAGCTGCTTGGGCAGCCAGTGAAAGACGTGCTGCGCCATGCAGTCGAAGGTGTTGCCTCGATCGCAGTGGGCTGTGTTGAGAAGATCCGTCATCATGCTGAACAACCTGTGAACGCTCTCCTGGCCAGCATTGACAATAGTCTTTAGCTGCTGCGGCAGGAAATTCATGGGTGGCGCGAAGAGGTGGCTCGCCACTTTCTTGGCCATGCAGTGGAATGTGTCTGCTCTGTGGCAGCCTGGGTCTTCCAGAAGATCACGGATCATCGCGAAAACCCTCTCAACGCCCTCAACGCCTGCACCGACAACCAGGTGCAGCTGCCGGGGCAAGTGCTGAAGTGGATCGTACGACGCCAGCGGATTGGGAAACGTGACGCTTCTTTCGCCAAAGTCATGGTCGAGGAGGTCGTCCCTGTTGCCGACAATTTCCAGCCAGCAATGGAGTCCGCCAAAATTGATCGTCAGGGTCCTGTCCTCCAATCTAGCGCTTGGTGGCCTTGCAGTGCAGTTCCCGTCGAATACAAAGCCTGTAGGGAACGGAACCCCAAGAATCACTGATGCTTTTTCGACGGTGTCGATCACCGTGCTCTGAATAAAGTCGACCGCGGCCTCGTCTCCCAATTCTTTCGCCTTGTCCCATGCACTTTCCAAGGCATCACCGGTCAGGCGATTGATGCCGTCACTGGTGGCGTCGACGCCCTTCTTTCCGAGGTCAACCGCCTCTCCGCCGATTTTTGAACCAGCCTTTACGCCCGATTCACCCCATTTTTTTACAGGGCCCAAGCGCGCATTTCTCTTGACCAGCAACGACCGGATCTCCTCCGGGACAGGTCACGTACAGGCCTCCCCTAAGGTTGCGAAGGGCACCAAAACCAGCGATGGAAGCAGCCGAACCTTGAGCCCCAACCCTTGCCTGATTCTTGAGCACCGCTGCGGGGCGCCTCCTCTTCCCTTTTTCGGAAACCAGTTCCTGACACTCTGCAGGGCTCGGACTCGCAACAATTCCCGTAGCTAGCCTCAGCCTCGCAGCTGGAGGTCTGCACATCTCTGAGCTCTCCTTGTGGGCACTGGGGTCGTAGTTGCGCGTCTGGCGCTGGCGGTGGTGCTTGTCCAGGACCCTCTTCAGGACGTCGCCTGCTGCATGGGGATCCCGAGTTTTCTTCTGTGCCATGGCGACGTGCTGGACATCGACATCCAAGCCTTGGCTTCAACATCAGGCTGGCTTCACGTGTGCGAGGGTGCAACAACGAAGATCGAAAGAACCGCCAAGCAACCGACGTGAGCTTTCAAAGCCTCGATTTCGCTATGTGCGGCGGTGAGCTCGGCTTGCTGCAACTGCACCACGGTCTCCATTTGTGCCATCTGCGGAACAAGCTTTGGCGATGATGTGCCAAGCGCAGCGCTCAGGTACTACATGGAGTGCCCTCCCCCGCACATCCGCCTTGATCATCATGAACTCCAGGTTGCAGGATTTGCGGGCCAGATGACCGAAACCTGCAGTGCCATCGCTGGCATTGCCTTCCTGGTCAGGTCTTTCAAATCCGAATCTCGTCTTGCAGCTGCAACTACACATGCGCAGCGGTGCAAACTTCGCAGTCGGGGAGCAACTGCAAACATCGAATCAAGCACAAGCAGAATGCCTCTCACACTCAGAAATCTGCTGGAGGCCTCATCCGGCCTGGGGACTGACTTCGCCTCACCAAAATCATGCACCAAGTTCTTCTCCAACAATCGCTCCACCTGAGCGGTCCGGATGAAGCTGTGGGTTGGCTCCCGGGCAACCTTATACTGAACCTTTAAGGGAACCTGGACCTGAGGAAGACCATAATATGTCTACTTTTCAATAACTCTGTCCGTACCGGCCTCGCGAGCCACCGTCGGGTCTTTCGAGTTGGTGATGTTGATGGGCGGCTCGAACAACTTGTATGCTTGGACGCCGGGACGTCCAGAGAGCCATCCAAGTGGCCCCGCCAGCCAAGTAATCACAAGAAGGTGGCTTACCTTGCTCAGAGACAGCCCAAAGCAAGCTCGTCTTGCCCTCATCATCTTAGCCATGACACGAACTCTAAGTGCGTCGTGCTCTTGACCGTGGACAGTCTGAGGAAAACGAATACACGACTAGAAGAGCTTGTTAACTAATTACGCAGCTCTTCCGAATCAGTGCCATCCCCTCTGTGAGCATCCGACTTTCAAACATGCCGCTCTTTTCCTGCGAAACAGAAGCAGGCAAGGCCCCAAGGAACTGACGAGTGAGCTATCCCTAGCCCTAGTGGGCTAGCATCTGCAGACACTCGCAAGTGCGTGACTTCTGACTTCGGTGCAATCCCAGTCACTTGAATCATGCCGACGCAACCACGAGGCTTGCCACACTTATTTTGCTTCATTGACGGCTACCTGAAATCTCAGGCCTGATGGCTGCGTGTCATGCAACGGTTGAGGCCGGCACCGCGTGCGCAGACACAAACACATGCGACTCTGATCCGCAGGCTATGTCCGCGATGAACACCCCTGCATGATCAAAGTCCTCAAGCTCAGGATCTGTTTGGAGCATCAAGAGTACAGCATCAGAAGTGCTATAGACGTAACGGGCAGCCTCGACAAATCAAGGAGCGGTTCTAGTTCGTCGTGCCGCAAGCGACTGTGGGCCCGCTTACACAACGTTCCTTAGGAAATGCCAAAAACCGGTCGGCAGCTGGTTGAATATGACGAATTTTGGAGGTTGACATGGGTGCAGCATGCTTCTGAACTTTGCATTGGCTTGCGCGGACACTCCGATAATTACTTTGGAAGGTTGTCGTGGATGGGTCCCACCAACCAACAGCCGCAGTGAATGCGTTTCAGGGTTTAGGGTTTAGGGCTTGCTTCAAGGTGGAAACACTGTAGCCCAGGCTCCCGCACTGTGCGTCGAGGGATGTTGCCTGTTGATACTTTTGCATGGCCGGCACTGGTGCAACCTTGTAACCTAGCTGAGTTTTCCCCACCACATTCAATGCCCAGAGCAAGATCCGAGATCCGGGTATCGCCCTGCAACAGACAACATGCTCCAGTCAGAAACATGCGGGGAGGGGGGGGGGCATTCCGCCGCGCTCCCAGACTGATTGGTTGTTGAGCTCCGCGCCGCTGTCAACGCAGGGTTGTCATGCATGGGCACAATCTTGCTGGTGCAACTGGTTTGCATTATGAGTTTGTGCCAAGTTTGGCTGAAGGCGCAAAAAAATCGCAACTCTTTACGGTACTCATTTGGATCTTGTTTGTGCAAAAGGGCACGAACTACGAACTGCATGTTTGAAGCTCTCATGTTCACGAGGACTTGACTTGATGCATCAGCCCCTCCGCAAGGATGACACGCTGCGCGCAGGGTCCGAACCATAAACCATGCCACGGATGCCACGACGGGCTCAAGGCTCCGACTCTGAAAAGTGTAGAGTGTGAATGGGATTGGGGTGGTTTTGGGGTTGGGGGGTTGGTGCCCCCTTCCGCTTCCTGGTACCCTTGTCCCTCCCTTGTCCTGGCAACCTGATTCCGAGGCCCAGTGTCCCGCGTCTTAGCATCGAGATTCTCATGGAGCACCGCTAAAGCCACACCGTATGCTGGCGGCGAGTGAGCGGATGGTGGAAGTGCGGTTGCAGCAGCTCTGAAAGCTACCCGCTTGACCCTGAGGCATCCATGAAACCCACTAGATTTTCCGAGTTTGATCGTGATTGAAGAGTTTTTTTGGGGTGCTTTGCGGCTTTGCATTTGTCGATTTTTTGCAGGCTTCTGGATCAAGTTTGGCACGTGCCCATGCAAGCCCAGAGGCTCCCAAATTGAACAAAGTACCCCTACAGAAAAACTTGTCCATAGTTCCGTTCGCCAGATACCTCACTTTGTTCATGTTGCAGGAAATCTCTTGTTTGTCCTGTTGGCTTGTTTGGCTTGTCCGGGCGAATGAAGGCAAGCCCAGGGCAAGCCTAATCAAGCCACAAGTGCTTGAAGAAAGAATACTGAGTACAGCATCAAAAGCAAAACATCAGACTCGACCCCACAGTAACAGTGTGTAACCGACGGGGCTTGCCTGCCGTCCGCGCTTAACTGGCTGGGCTTTGTGGCTCCCTGCACGCAGCAATGGACTCCCCCTTCGGCTTGTAGTTTATAGTTTCCTAACTAGAAATAAAAAGCGGTGGCAACCGATGCGATGCTATCAATGTGCACGATCCAAACGTGAAGTCGGACCTCGGCGGCTCAAAGTCCACACCTCTTTTTCCACTCGCTGTGGGCACAGTTCACCCATGCATGGAAACAGCTCGATTTCAGATGACATCTTGAAGGCTCGATGTGTTCTCAAGCATAGATGACGTCAAGGAACTGGCGATAGGTACAATCCTTCTTTGCAAGGCACAAGGCGCCGTGAGGCGCAAATGCACACAGCGCGAAGCGCTTGCCTCCATTTGGACAGGTCATATAGACCGTGTAGGGTGCCTTGGAGGGGTCCAAAGTCGTGAACATAGACCGCATGTAAATGTTTTCTTTCCACACCCTCTCGCCGTCGCAGTTGAAGACGAATGTATGGATCCAGTGGTAGTCGTTGAGGGCACGGTTCGGACCTCCATCTTTGCCACCTTTGAACTCGCGACAGGTCTTTCCTCAGAGGCATCGACAAAACTGATGACAGAAGTGTCCAGCAAAGGGAGCTTGCATGTTGTGAGAAAGTCGGGAGACAGCATTTTCCCAGTCTCTTCTCCCCAGGTTCAAGCATGAACAGCGGCTAAAGGAGCCCTGCGAGAAGGTCAACCATAACGTGCTTCTGCACGGTACGATTCAAGATATTCATGATACTTTTCTCGCACTGAATGCGATCCGGAAAGGGCCGGTAAACTTACAGTGGAGTTGGATTAGGGACGGGCATCAACTTCGAATCCTGGAACATGCCGAGCGCATCTTGGAACCAGCAGTGAAGAAACAAACTGCATCGGCTTTCGGCATTTGTGCCAAAACGACCAAGTGCTTGCGTTCTTTTGCTTTCATATTTTTCAGATTCTTCACGCAGCAAGGAGAACTGCTTCGAAGATCACGCATGTGAGGTTACTTCCTGAAGTCCGCCGGGCCAAAACAGTTTATCTAGCCTTGTCTCTCGAGGATTCGTGTCTGCAAGACCAATTATGCACAGCATACGTTCACACACTTCCTCTTGTGCGATCTACTGAACTTGCGTAATGCAGCTTCTGCAGTCACTGTAGTTCAAACGTCCGCAATTTATCGCAATTTCCATGATACAGGTCTTTGTACCCGCACAACAGATTTGGACACGAGTTGCAATTGGTTTGCGACTTGCAGGTGGGTTCCACTCTCAGAGAGAAGCGACAATAACCATTGAAGCAAAATCAAACCAAGGCATCAAAACAGGGCGGAAAGGTGGCGGGCTCCGATTTACGGTCCAAAGAGGTTGTGCTAGAAGTGCGGTGTGGGCTACTCGAACTAGAGAGGAGTTGCTGCCGAGCTACGGTTCTGACGCATGACCGTCAGGATAACAGGCGCATCTGCGGCAACATCTGCCAGTGACAGCTCGCAAGCAAAAACATCCATGCACTGGAGGTCCACGTTTTTGGTCCTGGGGGAGCGAATCGACCGAAAACCCTAACCGTTTAGGGCTTAGGGTTTTAGGGTTTAGGGTTTAGGGTTTAGGGTGTGGTCAACACATCTGCCACAGGCCCTCGCACTCTCTTCTTTGATCTTTCTTCTACTTGGATGAACCCAAGAAGTGCTGGCGAGTCTCAGGAACATGCCAGCGTCTCCAGAGGTCAGATTGACGCCTTTGCAAAACATGCCTCGGGTCTTGAAGAGGGATCTTTCAGCTGGCCCCGAGTGCACTTTGAACCAGCGTAAACCCCAAAATCTTATGCAGCCAACCAAGTCACCTTGCATGATGCCCACAGGCTCAATCAAATCACCCTGGCCGAATTCAATCGCTCAGTCCGGAAATTGCGGCTCATGACTAGACCGTCACGGTGGCGAGATCAATATCTAGCTCGGCTCCAACAGGGTCAGTCCGAGCAGGTCCTGCCTTCTTGTGGCTCATCTCGTCACCTCCTCGCTTTTGGTAATCTTTCTTGGCGCGCACGGTGATGTTTCCTTAGTTTTGCTGGTGGCCTGCTTGTGCTGTGGCCACTCCAACCAACAGCAGGCAAGCGAAACATCAGCATCAAGTGTAAATAATGCCTCTGAAGCGGAAGATCAGGCTAGGCTGGCAAAGATGCTTGACAGCCATGCAGGCCAAGCGACCTTCTTGAAACCGGCCGTACTGGGTGGCACACTGCCAGGTGGGGCCAAAAGTGCGGCAGAAGCGGAGTTCCTCTGCGACAGTTGCGCGACTCGCGGCTTCGTCTAAGGCAATGTCGGTCCCCGATGGCGCTAAGTGCAGCAGTATCTCGCCAGTTGCAATTATCAACCATGTCCGCGCTGCCCTCCCGGGCTTCGCGTGTCTAGGTTTAAGCTTCTTGATGCTGCGGTCCTCGAAACCTTTGCAATCTCTAGAAGTCGACCTAGGATGACCTAGTCCGTCGAGGCATTCGAAGCTGCGATTCTCTCAAGTATCTGTTGCACTGTACATTCCCGAAGTCAAACGTGTTGCTTCGTCCTACTTGCCCACCTGGCCTGTGAGAGCTCAACGTAGTCCTCCACCTGCAGTCACACTGTCGGTTGGTCTGCTTTTGACCCTGTCAGCTATCACACGACGAGCTGGTGGCGTTTGTCCTTCCACATGAAAAGCTGTGGATGTCTTTTCATGCCGAGTCGCTGCCATCCAGAACCTTACTTGTGGTTAGTAGGGAATGGAGGAATGGGGTACAATAATAACTACTAAGACTAGATCCCTTATAGTAACCCTTATAGACCCCTTAAAGGGAACCCTACCATTCCCTACTAACCAAAGGTAAGGAACTGGCCGTTGTCCCCCTTCTTGGCTCCCAGCTTTTCCCGCAGCTCCTCTGTCCACTCTTCGGAAGCATCGGACCAGCGGCCCTTCCATTCGCCGTGACCCCAGGGATTTCTGAAACAGATCAACCTGCCAAACTACACGGATTAGGGTTTAGGGTTTAGGGTTCAGGGTTTAAGGTTTAGGGTTTAGGGATTCCAAGAACATCTCGAAATGCCTTCTGAGCGAGGGGGGAGGGGGGGGGGGGCGCGGGAATGTTGCTGAGTGTGTGTGTGGGGGGGGGATTCGTAAGTCTCCGAGGGGCTGCTGACCGTCGACTTCCGCCACCCGCAGCACTGAGTAGCAGTGGCTGTACTGCAAACCCAGCTTATCCCAGGTGCTGCGGTCCATGTATTGGATTCCCAGGTTGCCAAACTTCCTATAGAGGCAGGAGATCGATCTCAGAGCCTATTCTGCACATAACAGGGAGTTTCCGAAAATAGGGGTACCTTATTTGGGGGTCCTTATAATATGGATCCTACTATTTAGGGTACTATTTTAGGGTCCCCTATTTTCGGAAAGTCCCAACATTCTGGTCTTAGCTCATCGGCAAGCGTCGACCAGGCGCTGTGGGGACAAACGAACCTGTGCAGCACGGAGGGTGAGAAATCTTGGGAAACCCTCCACCGGCTCCAAAGGAACGAAACCAAACACACCCCCTTGAATCACAACCCAGATTCTAAGTAATTAAAAGTATAGTTACCCCAATAATCACCCTAGTTGCTAAGTCTCACGATCCTCCAAGCAGACATCTCCCCACGATCATCTAAGTTCTCGCGCTGAAGCTGGCGGGGCACACCACAGTCAAAAGCTCGCCGCAGTTGCAGGCGTGCATCCTTGGCCGAAGAGGCCCCAAAGGTCCGTTGAAAAGGGCTGAAAGCCCATAGCCGACACAAACAAAGGCTTGGTGGTCACGCCTGAGTTTAGGATGCTCCGGGTTGCCAAACAAGACACAGGAAAACCCTTTTAGCCACAAACTCCGAAACTGGACAGTTCAGGGTTTCCGACTTTGGCCTGAGGCCCATACAAGAAAAGGTTCTTAGCTGTTTCTCATGACCCTCAGAAAAAACACGAGGCTTCGGCTTCGAATCATCGAGGGGTGTGGATGCTGGTGCGCACTAAGTGGGCCAGTCCGAAGGGTTGCACAGCGAGGGAATTCATCCTCAAGGTATATAGGGCTTTGCTAAAGCCATGCAAATAAAGTCTATAGATGCCCCTTGTGCATAGGAGCGCCAACGCACAGGACATAAACAAAACATGGCCATGGCGGTGCTCCAAATGAACCCGAGAGGACGTATAGCTATGACGTGCACTGAGCGTTGGATCCGTGGCCCTCAATTCTGCTCCCAGTGCAGCATGGATGCTATCATTGCTCGAGCTGGTTCCTCTTGCCCCAATAAATCCCGATATCAGTGGGTGACAATGGATGCACCGGTAGCATTCGGTAGCATGGACGTTGTCATTGGCCGAGCATGGATGACCCCCTATGCTCTCGGCAGGACAACCAGAGCCTTCAACCGCACGATAATGACTGTCGCAGAGACATTCATGAATAACCTAACCGATCAGGAAACAAGCCCCAAACTCGAGGATATCGTACTAATTGGGGTAACTCCATTTAGGTTACTTATAACTCTACTTATAACCTACTTACTAAGTCCCCTGCCCCTCCAAGCGAACTCGAGGAAATCGTACACCCAGGTCAAACACAGGGCATTTCCATCATGAGACACACAATTTCCTGGAGCCGGGGCGGCGGGTCAGCCGCTTGGCTGCAACAGGTAGGCTAAAGCAGCGAAACTTACAAAAGATGTAGACCCCTGAAACTCCTGAAACCCCGAGTGGCCCTACTTGGAGGATCATGGGACTCAGTAACTATGCTTATAAGTCCCTTAATTGGGGTATAAGTAACTTACAAGTATAGTGACCTTAGCAATAACCCCTAGTTACTAAGTCCCATGATCCTTGAAGTAGGCCCTAAAACCCCCCTTATAGAACCCCTACAGACCCCTTTAAAGGAGCCCTATAAGGACCCTTTGAAAGAGCGCCGTCCAGAGCCGGAAGGCATCTTCTGGAAGAAGCTCGGTGGGTTGCCGCGATCGGGCCTGAGCGCTTGGAAAGGCAAAGCGTGGTGGAAGTTCCTGGCACCCCCTTAAAGGATCATGGGACTTATAGTAACTAGCGTCTCTTAAAGGGCTCGGGATCTATAGGGGTTCCATATAAGGGGGTTTTAGGGTCTACCTAAAGGATCATGGGACTTATAGTAACTGGGGTTCTTACTAAGACAACCATACTTATAGTTACTTATAACCCCAATCCGCCGAGGCCACAGGCCCAGGCGTCTTGGGGATTACCTCAGGTACCCTCCACCTAATCCTCCTCCCTGCGGTCCGAAAGGTTCGTTTGCCACCCCCCCTCCCCCTCCCTCAACCCCGACAGAAGAGTATACGACATCCACTGCCTGCCGCTAAAGAGCGGCGGCGTAGCGTTAAAATTACGGTACTTATAACCATACTTACAAAGTCCCATTATCCTCCAAGCCGGGCCTGATGGTGTAGATGCCATTCACGCCACCGAGCAGAGAGTAGATGGCTTCCTCGGGCTGTCCACCATCGATCTGCTCGAGGCAGGTCAGGTGCTTTGCAAAGGCCTTCTCCTTGGTTAGTAGGGAATGGAAGCCTTTAAAGGGATCCTTATTGGGGTCTATAAGGGCTACTATCAGGGATCTTTCAGGCTTTCGTATCTTTAGCTACACGGCTACGCGGTCGAGGTCGTGTCAAAACACCTCTGCTGGGTCTCCTGCAGCCTAGAGTCGAGTATGGAGACCCAGAACTCGTCCTTGCTGCTGGACTTTCCATACAGCAACTGCCCTCCGTCGTCAACGGCAAGATAATCATCTACGATGGTGTAGGTGAAGTGACCCTCGCTGTAGAAGAGCACCCCGTAGACTCCTACTTCCCAATCGTGCCTCAGTCAAACGAGTCGAAGAAAGAGCGCACAGCACACCCCAACTGACCCCGCAAACATGCTAAACCCAAATATAGTACCCTAAATAGTAGGATCCTTATCATAAGAACCCCAAAATAAGGTACCCCTAATTTTCGATAAAACTCAATCGTGCGCAGGTACGCCACGAAGACTTGTTGCAAGAAGGCCTTCCGATTGCCGACCATCGTCCCAAGAGATCCCAGGAGGTAGCAGTCGCCGATCCGGCCTGAACCGCAGAAGCTCACGAACCGCCCTTGAGCCACCAGCTAGGATCTAAAGCTTAGGGTTTAGGGCTTAGTAGGGTTTAGGGTTCCCTCTAAAGGGGTATGTACTATAGGGTTCTATACATAGAGGCCCAGGGACCAGCAAAACAGAAAAGCCTTCCTCCCAGAAAGCTATGCATGCCAGGGCCTTGATTGATGTCATTCGCTTCGCAGCCGTCCACGAAGAGCTTGCCTGGATGCGGGGCACACGGGGCTACAACATCATGGATACTTAAAGGATCATGGACCTTAGTAACTAGGGTTATTAATAAGGTAACTATACTTATAACTACTTATAACCATGATCCTCCCACTATAGAACCCTCATAGATCCTACCCCTTTCAGGAACCCTTATTGATCCCTTTGAGGAACCCTAGTTACTAAGTGCGATGATCCTCCAACTATACCTCTGAGGCCTGGCTTTAGTCCGCCTTGATGCTTCCGATTACGTCAGGGTTTCGAGACATCGGGCTGTCCCCCTCCTACATTAATTAGGGCTATGAGTAATTATACTTAAAGTTACCTTAATAATAACCTTAGTTACTAAGTCCCATGATCTCCCAAGCTATCCCGAAGAGATCGCAAAGTATATCGGCCATCATCAACCGCAAAGAAACCTTGGATCACAAATCCAAGACTTTCAAGGAGCGGCCGTCAGCTTGAAGCTCCGATGCCCGCTTCCAACCCGTCCTGACCAAACACAGAGGTGGTTCTCAAAATTAGGATCCCTCTTGAAGGTTCTTAATATAATACGGCACCCATTATTTAGAGTACCCAAAAGGGGGACCATAATTTTGACAACCACCCACATCGAGACACTGCCCTCCGCAACCCAAAAACTGCTTACAGAATGCTGGAGACCTTGCTGGTGCACGCTCCAGGTGTTTAAGGAAGGGTTGGACAGCCGTCGAATCCCGTGCTGGACCCAACATCATCAAACAGCGTCATCGAACACCAAGGCTCGGAGGAGTCATGCCGCAGCCGTATCCACGCTTCTCTTTGTCCACGAATATCACGGCCTTCTCATCCCCCAGCACGTCGAAAGACTTGTCTGTGTACTTCTCCCCGTTACCTCGTGTGCAGCAAACGTCCATTACACACAACTCTCGCTGAAGCCTCGGACGCAGGATCAGCAAACACCCACAGGTTGCCCCACAAGCTCGACATCAGCACACCTGCTGGGATAAAGGCGAACCCTGAGCGTGAAGATGAGGATGAGCCGTTACATGCCGTTACCGTTCCACTTTCAGCTCTTGTGCCAGCTCTTCAGACCCCTCAGACTCCGTCCTGTCTTAGTCTTCCCGAGTCTCTAAAAACCATTAGGGTTTAGGGATGTTTAGGGTTTAGGGGTGATTTTGCCATGCAGCTCTTGCAGCTGTCCACGATCTCCTGCAAGCACTGAGCCGCTCCGCCATTGCACTTCTCGCTCTGTGCAGGCTCGGTGTTTTCGCATGGGACGTACAAGGAATCAAACCGGACATCCGATCGCAAAGCCCTTCCCCCAATGGTCCTTCACCTGCCGACTGCAGTTCTCGCGGGCCCGCTGCCAGGAGTTCACGGCACCTGAGGAGTGATGTCGTGCCGCGTCCCTTGTTCTTCGCCTTCTTCCCCCAAATTTAAATGGACGACTGGTGATCATGGAGCTCTAAAGGTTCCTTCCTAGCTCGTCGTCCGCTGCGGCTGGTTTGGCATCTGCGTGGCAAAACCGGGCTCCGGCGCAAAAGTGCCCAACATGCAAGCGACCCTTAAGCTGAGCCGGGTTATGATCTGCATAATGCGCAGCTGCATCGCATTGCATCGCCAAGCAATGCAAACGCACAAACCCACACAAACACAGAGAAAGAGACAAAGAAATATGCGGTGGGTTGGGTGACCAGCAAGCCGTGTACCTTAAGCCCTCGGTTTCCCCACGCCACAAAATCCCTGCGGGTGGCTCCATGGATACACACGAGCTCCGCTGTTGGACACTGTCGAGCATGTCACATGTTCACGCTTGCCCAGCTCATACACTGCATGAGCCGGTGTGCGTGTGAACTTGGTGTTTTCCGGCACGAACAGAAAAACCAAGAGCAGCCGACACACGGTCGCGGTGAAACGCTCGGTATAGTTCAGTAAGGCTGAAACATGCTCGACATTCGGTCAGCTCAAGATACTATCTCTGTCCGCGAGGCGACGCCGCGTCGTGATGAGCACGCAGGCCGCGAGTGTCAAGCAAGCGGGTCAGCTGCTTTGCGACGTCTCGTGCTTATGTTACTTAGAGGGTCATGGGACTTAGTAAGTATTGTTGTAAGTACATCAATTAGGGTTATACGTAATTATAAGTATAGTTATCGTAATATTAACCCCAGTCACTAAGTCCCATGATCCTTTAAGTACAGGTCTCTCAGCCTCTCCGTGCTGATTGAGTCACTCAAGGAGGAGGCCGACCTGGATGCTGCTGCTACGGCCTGCGGGGAATGCTTCAAGTACTTCGAGGATCATGGGACTTAGTAACTGGGGCTGCTTTAAAGGGGTCTGTAGGGTTCTATACAAGGGGGGTTTAGGATCTGCTTAAAGGATCATGGGACTTAGTAACTGGGGTTATGATCAAGGTGACTATACTTATACTTACTTACAAGCCCGATTAGGGGGCTTATGACCATAGTTACTAAGTCCCATGATCCTCCAAGTACCTCCAGGCCCTAGGCCGCAATCCCGGAAAAAGCCTCTCGCGACTTCGGCCTCACCACGCCATAGAAGGATTTGTTATAATGCTTTCCTGGGCATTTTTTGAGCCTCGCCTGAAATTACATGCTGAATCCTGACACTCCTTCGAATGGTCGAATCCACATGCCCCCCTTCCTCCGTCAATTCCTCGGGAGTGAGAGCGCTCAGGACCTGGCAGTAACGCGCACCGAATGATAAGCGTGGGCAGGAAGAAGCAACTGCGACAACTGGGATATGCCCAATAAAATCCAGAGAGCATCTCTGCTTCAGTGCATCTCTTCTCACAAACGGACACACCCTTCGTCCCGGGCACAGCCAGGAGCGAGAGCAGTCCCAGTCTGGCTCCCACCTTCAGCTCCAAGGCGGAGAGCTTGGCAGCAAAGAGCTCGTCCGGGGCAGCGGCCGGCGGCTTGTCCTGTGGGCGCTTGAAGGATCATGGGACTTAGTAGCTAGGGTTATTATTATGGTAACCATACTTACACTTACTTATAACCCCACTTAGGGACTTATAACCCCATAATTAAGGTAACCATACTTACACTTACATATAAGCCCACTTAGCGGACTTATGACCATAGTTACTAAGTCCCATGATCCTCCAAGCAAGAGAGGCCCCTTCCCTCGCCTCGCTCCAGGAGGTCACCGGATGTGTTGCGTGTGCTTCCCATGGAGACTCCCCAAGGCCCGGGTACATGACCCTTAATGGGGACCCCTATAAAGGGCTCCTTAAAGGGATCTATAAGGATTCTATAAAGGGTTTAGGGTTTAGGATGTTTCAAAGGGGAAAAGGTGGGACCCTTAATGGGGACCCCTACCCTATAATGGGCTATAGAATGGGTATATAATAGCTATATTAAGGGTATATAATGGCAAAAAAGTGGGTGGTGCAACAAGTTCTCAGCCCACCCACTGGAAAACCCAAAGAAAGTGCATGTCCTGGACATGGAGGTGGAAAAGAAGGCCCTCAATCCCTGTCTGCTTCGCCAGGTTCCTCTCCTCGCTCACCTGTTGCAGGGCTGACCTACAAAAGTGTGGGATTTAGAGTTTAGGGTGGTTCTGAGCATCAAATAGGGCATTCGTGCGAACACCACTACCTCTGCACCGGATGGCGCCCTCGCACCATGGTAAGAGGACCAGGAACATTGCTTTTTGCCGGCTAGGTCTTTCTCTTTGTTGGTCTCATCCCCAGTTACTTGTACAGAGTGCGGCTGCATTCGCAGCTCTCGAACAGCAGGTGAGCTTCCAAAGAAGTGCCTGCAAAGCGGTCCTGATTAGTTGAGGCGTGAGACAAACGACTATCTTTCGAAAAGCCCGTCCCTTCTGAGGGGTTTAGGGTTTAGGGGTTCAGGGGTTTTGGGGTTTAGGGTTTAGGGCTTTAGGATGGTTTAGGGGTTTTGGGGTTTAGGGGTTGAGCCCACCTCCTCATCTGGAACGGACAGGTCCACCGCGCTCAAGGCCCCGTCCTCAGGTACTCAGAGGCCTCGAACCTTCAGATCCTTCAGTCTCTGGCCACCTTCGCCTGTACTTGGAGGATCATGGGACTTAGTAAGTATGGTTATAAGTACCTTCATTGGGGTTATAAGTAACCATAAGTACAGTTAACTTAGTAGTAACCCTAGTTACTAAGTCCCATGATCCTTTTCGTAGATCCTAAACCCCCGTTAGAAAGAACCCCACAGACCCCTTTAAAGGAACCCCAGTTGCAAAGTCCCATGATCCTCTAGGTAGCCCTCGATTCGGTCCTTCACCCGCTGCAGCACAGCCAAGAGGTCTTCCGCCTCCGGGGAGGCGCCCGAGCCTGGAAAACTTGCCTTTGGTTTGTAGGTAATGGAGGAATGGGGTACAATTATAACTATTCTTCCATTCCCTACTAACCAAAGGTAAGAGAAGTGAGCCAAGGTATGCCACTTAAAGGATCATGGGACTTAGTAACTAGGGTTATTACTAAGGTAACTATACTTATAGCTACTTAAAACCCAATTAAGGTACTTATAACCATACTTACTAAGTCCCATGATCCTCCAAGCAGGTGTTGACCTGTTGTCACAAACACTGTGTCAACACCTCGGCCCTCTTTCCAGTGTAGTGAATTTGAGATAACGGGTCTATGAGAAGGCAAATGGTTGATGAGGTAAAATAAGGAGCAAGGCAAGACATTAGACAAATGCAAAATGCCAAGAATTACATGAAAGGAATGTAATGCCGCAATGCTGCAAGAAAAAGGAAAGACAACTATAACGCGAATCACTAATTACCTAGATATGCGAAGATCCGAACTGTTATATAATCTGCAAACATTTGGGGATTTCGTGGACGGCTGGGAGGCGTGCACGGCGCTTCCGACTCTTGACTTCGGTGTTTTCCCAAAAACCCCTCGGCTTGGGCTCTGCTTTACTGGGTTGTGCTTTAAACCCTTTGAAAATTACTGACAGGGAAAAAAGGGAAACCAAAAAAATCAGGTTTTCCAACGCACGGGCCGCGATACGGTGTGCGGCGCGGCGGGATGAGGGTTTAGAGTAAAGAGACTTGGGCGTCCAACGTGGGGCGCGATACGGGCTGCGGCGCGGGACTGTTCGGTGCCACTCTTCGTCTAGATGGTTTTTGGGTTCCCGGGTCGACCTTGTTTTCAACAGTCCCGCCCGGACCCCGTCTGCCCGGGACACCGAAGTCATTGTGCTCCAGAACTGCAGTTCTCCCATGTTCTCCCCAACCTTATCACGCTCCTGCCACAGTCCCGCACTCGTTGTTAATCTTACTTCCTTTCGAAGTCCCTCAAGTCCTAGCACGCAGATCTCCACTTTTCGCTCCTCGAAATCCCAGACTGCAAGATTCTAGTCTACGCTGGACTATAATTCTTGTGTCAACCTTCCGGTCTCCTTTCCGTGTTTCCCTTGTTTCCGAACCAAACAGGCTGCTTGTCTTCGTGCTGGAGATGCTTCTCCGGGATGAGCTTCGTGAGCCTCTAAAACTTTGTGGCTTGGTCAGTCCCCAGAAGACACTCCAACATGACAAGCAGCCTGAGAATCCTGAGATATAAGAGGCATACAGCATCGTTGCCCCTGAGACATGCATGAAGACTCCTGAAGACACGTGTGCACACCAAGCAGTGTGAAATAGAATGCGACCGCAGCCGCGCAGCAACCTTTTTGCGCATCAACTTCGTAAGTCTCGCTTGCCGAGCATGCTCTTACTACTCGGCTCTCAATGATGTGGCTGTTCTGGGTTGGGTGTTCCAAGTTGGTATGGTTACACACCCAATGCACCATGTCATCATCCCAGCTTTTGACTCTGCCAGCAAAGAAGTGAAGTGAGCCTGGCACACATCCGGAACAAACCGAGGAGCAGTCGCGACAAAGACAGCGAACATAACAAACATAGAATAGGCAGGAAATCTCGCAACAGCAAAACAACGGAAAGCTTCTCTGGTTCTGCTGGGAATCGCATGGTACGGGTGTATCGCATCCTTCTGAGTCCCTCCCGTCTCGCTTTGGCCCGGCAGCCGTTCAGCTTCGAAGCGAGGTCCCTGATGCTCGGTCTCTCCATCTGGCAAGCATCGTAGCTGTCCAGCGCTGCCTGCTCTTTCAGTCTCTGCTACACGCTGCCCCCCAAAGTTTCCCACTGGTGAGAAATGCCCCCCCACTTTTTCAAAAATGCCCCCCGAGGCCTGGCGGCAAACGCCCAGGGCCAGCATGGCGCAGGCCCAGTCCTCGCGTGAGACCTGCAAGCGGCAAGGCACCGGCAAGGCAAGGCCTATGGGCGCCCGGCGAAGCAGCAGTGCAGTTGTGACAAAGTGGAGCCATCTCTGCGATTCCAACGAGCCCTCGCGCAGTCTGCTGCCTTCTCGTCATAGCGCTCCGAATCCTCGCACAAAGACTCGGAAGTTTTTGGGCTTCGGAGTAACGAGACCGCGTGCCATCTCTCGTCTGCTCCGAGCGTCGATGGAAGGGACGACCAGAGATGGCCGAGCTTGCAGTGGTTCAGATGGGACCTCTCAGAAAAAACGATAGACGTTGGCTGAGAGAAAAGCACAAAAAACATGAGTCCAGACTGAGGCTCGGCTTTGCTTCAGCTCGGGCCTGAGGTTCCTGCTTGATGTCCTGGTGGAGCTCCAAGTCCGGGTCCTCGTCTTCCTCTCCCGTAAAGCCTTGTCTGAAAAGCACGCCCCAAAAAAGAGTGGAGCCCCAAAGAAGATCAAAGGACTAAGGCTTGCGCCGATCAGGCCTGTCTGGCCGAAGCCATCCAGGAGCATCTTGCTTTGAGAAGGCTCTGCCTCTGCGAAGATGTAGTCCAAGAACTCCTGAACGCTCACCTTGTCAGATCTCGGGGTGTACGAGATTTCAGAGACTGTCGTGGGTACTCTCGGATATGCTTGGACTTCACGGTCAGCCCCCACGCCTTGCCATCTGAATCCTTGTCCATGGAGTTGAAGAGCAACTTGTAATCCTCATCATTCATGGGCTCTTCGCCTTTCAGCTGCAGAAGTATGGCGACAAGCTCCTCCTGGCAAGACAGGAGCCGCAATAATGGACAACGGAACCTCAGCGCAGAGGTATCAAAGGTTCCTGAGCACTGTGAGATTTTCCCAGGGGAGTGTCATCTGAAACTGCTTGGAGGATCATGGGACTTTGTAACTATGGTTATCAGTACCTTAATTGGGGTTATAAGTAAATATAAGTATAGTTACCTTATAATTACATATAACTATAACCCCAGTTACTAAGTCCCATGATCCTTGAAGTAAGGCAAGTCCTATGATCTATGTGAGTGAGTCTGCCGATGTGCCCCTGAGGGGCCCTCTTGGAGTCTCGTGCCTATTCCTGAAGCTTCAGATGGCTTCGGAGCTTGCTTTCGATTCGTTTTGGACCGACTGTCACCTGGGAAAGCTTGCCATCTCCGTTCCGGTCAAACCGTCTGAAGGTGGACTTCACCCGCATGAGGGTCGCAACGTTCATGTTGCACTGCTTGAGGCTGTCCGGTTCGAAGGCCCAGCGGCCCTTGGAGAATTTAACAAAGAGCCTGTCACCACTGTTGCTCTTGTCTTGCCTCACCCACATGACCTTGCCAACCTCACCCTCCACAACATCTTTGTCGGACTTCTTCCACTGGACGCTGTCGCCCTTCTGGAATGGCAAAACCGCGAGCCGATGTGGGGGTATGCCTGGATTCAGCTTGTCAGGTACTCCGGTACTCCATGCCATGCGACATGCTCCAATCAGCTCAGGACATGCCAAGGAGCTCCAGCCACCTCGGTCAGGGGAGTCGTGACTGCAGGGGCCATCAGGGTCCTGGTTGTGTCTTGACCTTTGGTGGCAGTGCAGCCATCGCCTCGAGGCCACTGGACCCGTATCATGTTCTTGGCGTCGTGCAACCTGAGACAGGCTTTAGGCGTCTTCGGTGTGTGCGCAGGCTCACCACCGTGCATGCTGTGCCCGGGCCTGACGACTTCTCCGATGTCGCCTCGCGGGATGTCCTGATCTGCCTTCTCCCAGAGGACATACCTGCCTCGATACAGTGCCAAGATTCGACAAGCACGAGATTTCTCGAAGTTTGGCAGGCAGTGCAGCTTTGCTCGCCTGGCTGCAGGCGATGAAGGGCGAGGTCCGAGGGCTTCATGTTCCACGTATCTGGTGTGGGAACAGAAACTGGCAAAGACATGCAAAAAAGAAGAAAGGCAACTCTGTTCGAGAAAGACATGTCTCGTCTGCTTTCCTTCCGTTTCGAAAGGCCCTGCCCTCACACCTGGACCTATCCTTGCCCTTTGAATGATCAAAGACAAGTCAACCGCATCCCTCCGTCAAGGATGCAGATTCCCCACGGCCCGGCCGAGGCTCCGCTAAGGAACTTCACACGCAGGCGGTTCTTTTTGACCTAGTGCCGGAAAGTTCTATCGCTGGGAGAGGTTGGAGAAGGGCAAGGCTGCTTTTCAAAGGTCGTTTTCGAACTCCTCCTTGAACTCTTTCAAAAGTCTCCTTCTCTTTTCACATCCCTCTTATTTCTCACTTGCTTAAAGATTCCGCAAACTGAGTTGGGAACAAGCGCACGCTCCTGCTATCCATTGCCGATCGGGAACCCAGCCCCTGGAGCTTCCTAGTCCCCAGAAAAAGTGGGTAATAATAGTAATAATAGCAATAATAGTGATAATAGCAATAATAGTAATAATAGCAATAATAGTGATAATAGCAATAATAGTGATAATAGCAATAATAATGATAATAGCAATAATAATAATAATAATAATAGCAATAATAATGATAATAGCAATAATGGTGATAATAGCAATAATAGTGACAATAGCAATAATAGTGATAATAGCAATAATAGTGACAATAGCAATAATAGTGATAATAGCAATAATAGTGACAATAGCAATAATAGTGATAATAGCAATAATTGCTGAAGTGCATGCCACCTTTGCAGCTCATGCCAGTTGTACATGTTCATTTTTCCGTCGCTCTTTAGGCTATGCACAGTTTGAGCCTTGAGCATGCTTTTAAACAAAACACATGTACCATAGTTGTAGGTGCCATGTCCAAGGTAGCACAGACTTCACGTTTCCTTTCTTGTTCGCTTGCGTGTAAAATCTCCGCCTACTGAGTGAGCCATGGCGGGTTCTGGGGAGTATGGGACAAGGGAATTAGCTACTCCACTTGTGTCTACCTCTCAGCCTGCTGGTTCGCTCCAGCAGGTTATGAGCCCATGCTGGAGCGAACCAGCAGGCTGAGAGGTAGACACAAGTGGAGTAGCTAATTCCCTTGTCCCATACTCCCCAGAACCCGCCATGGCTCACTCAGTAGGCGGAGATTTTACACGCAAGCGAACAAGAAAGGAAACGTGAAGTCTGTGCTACCTTGGACATGGCACCTACAACTATGGTACATGTGTTTTGTTTAAAAGCATGCTCAAGGCTCAAACTGTGCATAGCCTAAAGAGCGACGGAAAAATGAACATGTACAACTGGCATGAGCTGCAAAGGTGGCATGCACTTCAGCACTCCTCCTTCGCGGCCCCGCCAGGGAGCTGCGACCTACTTGCTACTGCAGGTCCAACCCGTCAGGGTGACGACACACCTACCCTGAACTACCTGGCAAAAGCTGGGCCAACTGCCCTCACTATGCGAGGGCTCTCAAGGCACCTCGTGTGGGAAAAAGACACAGCTACGGATGAGCTCACTGAGAGATCCAACCCGTTAGGGTGGAGTAGTTCCTACCCTGTGCTGTGCTGGGTGTGGTCTGCAGCGCTCCCGTGGCACTGCTGGCACACTTGAAACTCAACAAACCTGTGCGAGTGGGCGAGCGTGGAACAGGTCTTAGTGCGGTGGAGCTTGGTCCCTTCGGGTGTTGCAAAGTAACGCGTTGGTGCTCCACCTGCCTGCTCACGCGTGCGAGTTGTTTGTGAGGGGCGGCGTCTGGGCGCTGCAGCAACAGACTGCGAGCTTGCTGCCTCCTCACGTGCAGAGATCTCGGCCTGGATGGCCTGCGCAGTTTGATCTCGAAGGCGCTGTAACTTGCGCGCCTTGCGGGGGCTCAGAGACAACACGGGTGTCCCTGCCTCTCGGCGGGAGATGACGCCTGGAAGGCACCACTTGAAGAACTCCCACACTGCAATGAAGCAGATACCAATGCAGATGATGGATACTGCCAACATCAAATCTGCATCAAGCGACACGGAGAGAGACAAGTCTTCTTCCTCGTCCGTTGTCTGGCTGGCAGCACCTACGACCTGAAAGAAGGCGAGCAAGACAGCGAAGGCACTCAGCTGCAGGTCTTGCCGCGCCACGGTCCCAGTGCCCACAGCTTGAGTTTCACTGTAGGCCTGAGCTTCCGCCCGGCGAGGTACGCCATGCTCAAGCAAACCCCAGATGGCTGCGAGCTCAAGGATCCTCGCAGATGGCAGTGCTTTCGTCAGAAGATCTGCGGCCTGCTCAACACCTGGGCAGTAAACAGGGATGATTTCTCCTGCCTCATACTGCTCGCGCAAGTAGTTGGCGCGCACCCTCAGGTGGCGGGTTCGCCAAGACCCGTGACCGATAGCGATGGCCAGTGCAGACTGTGAGTCAACCCTCAAAGTCTTGTCGAAGCTAGAAACCCCGAACTCACTCAGCATGGCCTCTGCTGACTGAAGGGCAACTACAGCGTCAAGTCCAGCAACAAGCTCGGCTTCTGCGGTACTGAGGGTGACAAAAGACTGTCGTGCTGAACGCCAGCACACCGGCGACCCGTGAAGGAAAACCACCCACCCCGTGTGAGAACGATTCCCTTCCGGCGCATAGCTGGCATCACTATACGCGATCAATCCTGTGTCATCCGCGTCAGCGGTGAGGGATAGCGCCTTGGTACGCTGCACATACGCAAGGGCCTTTTCTGCAATGCGGATGGCTCGTTGCGGCGCCTTCGTGCTGAGAGAGGCAAGCACACAAGCAGTGAAAGCTAAGTCAGGCCGAGTGCGTTGGCTTAGCCACAGGATTTCTCCAGTCAGCCTCTGTGCTGTTCGAACGGTCTCCTCGGTTGGGGACTCGTCCGTCAGGAGAGTGTCAAACGAAACAAGGTCACGCGGACAGGGGACCTTACCTAGTGCAGTGGGCTTTACGTTGTTGAGACGCAGCAGCTCTTCGGCGTAAGCCTGCTGGGACAACACAAACCCGGAACCTTGCACTAGGATTTCAACCCCTAAAAACCTCAGCGGGTGCTCTGCGGTGGCAAGTGCGAGAGGCGTCGTTTTCCAGATGCCCTGGATGGCCGTAGCCAAGGCTTCGATCACCTCTTTACTGCCTGCAAGCAAAAAGTCGTCAACGTAAGTGAGCAACCCTCCTACGACTAGCCCGTCAGAGGTGCGAACAACACGCCACCAGTTTGGGTCCAACCTTCCTTGCTGGAGCTGCAGTTCAACTCCGTCAACAACACACCTCAGCGCCCGAAGTTGGCAGTCTCTGAAGTCCGACCAAAGCTTAGGCGACTCCCTCAACCCGTACACAGCGTGCGTGAGGATCCAAAGCTCCCCTTCCTCTGCCAAACCTAGTCTCACTAACAACCTAGGCGGCGTGAGAGCAAACACTGGAAAACCTCTGCCTTGCGGGATTGGGGTCAACAGAAAAGCTGAGGTGACATCTAGAGACCCGATGCACCAATTCCTCTTGGAGCTGATGATTACAAAACAACGGAATGTCTCTGCAGCAGCACCTGAAGCGTAGACTTCGGACCCCGTGCCTGGGGCGTGGTTGCCACAAGCAACCAGGCGAGCCTTGCGCTTGTGGTAAGCCTGACCCTTCCGGGTAGCGAGGGAGGCTTCAGCAGGGTCTGGTGGCTTGACTGTGAACACAAACTTAGACGGAACCACCTTCACTTCCTTGCGCTTTAGCCAACCTCCGGAACGGACCTCTGCAGGGGGCAGTCGCCGCACAGCCTTCTCAATGACACCGATCTCCTTGTGAATGGACGGCATCCACTTCTCGATGCATTGCTCTGCATCCCGAGGGTCTACAGTGTGGACTACCTGCAGTGGTTCTTGCAACCCGTCAAGCAACAGCTCTACGTTGGTAGTGTAAACCGGCTCAGACTTGCAAAGGGCACAAGCTTCACTCGCGTCCGAGTCGTCAGACCTGAGAACACACAGCTGCTCACCTGTCTGCGGGTGTGGAACCCACAACTCCCACAGCACTGGTTGTTCCGGCAAGGAGTCTTCGCTTAAGCCCTCCTCCTCCTCAACCTGTGTCTCGGTGTCTGGTTGGCAAGCCAGCAGGGCGTGCTCAGACTGGGTTCGCCTTTGGTCCGGCGAGTGTTTCAGGTTCCACGACACCTCCAGCTCTACAGTACCTGCTTCTACGGCTTGGGTTTCTTTCCAACCTCCGCCTTTAAGCACAGTCCCAGGCGCTAACTCAGAAGTCTTCCCGTCAGGGTGACGTGCCTTTGTCTCCTGAAGGGGCTCTTCTTCGAAGCAGTCAAACGCGTCTAGACGTCTCACGTCTTGCTGCTCAGTCAGCGGTAAACGTACCGACGCTGGGAGTGGAAAACCTAAAGCTTCAAGGCTTTGAAACTCGTGCTCAAGCTCTTTGCCTAACGTGTTGACAGTGTAGCCGACAAGCACTGCTCTCTCACCCCTTCCAGGGAGTGGTGGCATGGCGGCGAGTAGGGTCTAGGAAGAAGGGCTTACCGCGCTCTAACTTGTGAGTTGTCCCTAACCAGCGCCTACCTTTGCCGTCTACCCGCTCCTCTACAGGGCCACTGACTAGGTCACCAGGCTTGAGTTCTATCCACAAATCCCCTCCGTTAGGCGGGAGCTTCAAAGGGAGGACTACATTTGTGGATCCCTGCAGGTTGTGGTGGTCGGCGTGCACGGGTTGAACAGTGGAATTAGACAACCAAAGCGAGGTGTACTCAGCTGTGGGTGCAACTGCGGAAAGCACCATATTCATAAGCTCTGTCAGCCAAGGCTTATCTGTGGTACCCCCTAAAACTCCTACGACACCTCCGTGACGGTACAACCCAGCTTTGTGTTGCAGCTGGGGCGCTGCTCTGCACACTTCGGCTAACACCCACAACGCTTCATCAAGGTCCCAGTCGTCCTCGATAAGCTCCGTAGCTAAACCTTCGAGGTCTTGCAGACTCAAGCGCGCTACACGGGCAGACTCCTCCTCAACCGGTGACACAGGCCCTTCCGGGTGTGGAGCTTCTGCTGGCGGCGGCAAGGGAGGCGGCGGGTCAAGTGCAAACACGTCGTCAAGTCTCACACCAGCAGACCGCTTGCCGCGAACCCTGCGTGGAGGTGGTGTGTGCTCCTCCTCAAGCGAGTCTCCTACAAACTGCAAGGGCGGTGGATCCGGAGAAACAAGGCGGGTGCGAACATGGAGTGTTTGCACAAAGCCGTTGCCAACA